GAATGTTTAAAAAGATTTAGAAATAATTTAAGTATGCAAGTGGACTCATCCGGTTCGTCGGTGAGGTATAAGTGGACCTATCCGGGACGTCGGTAAGGATTAAGTGGACTCATCCAGTACGTCGGTGAGGTATAAGTGGACTTGCAGGGATTATTAAGTGGACCTATCTGGGACGTCGATAGGGATTAAGTGGACTCATCAGGACGCTGATGGGGTATATAGGTGACCTACTTGGGACGCCAGTAGGGTATTTTGTGAAATTCTTTGAATTATGCACTGCCGTTAAAATGTTATATGCATTTCAATCATTTGAATTGTGTTTAATTGTGCATTTCTGAAAGTGAAATTGTTATCTATAAATGCTTGTGCTCGCATTGTTTTTAATTGACCTCCATTTTGAAAGTTTGTTTATATCTTTCATCGATGATTATTTTTAGGATTATGATGATCACTTACTGAGTAGCTAAACTCATCAAACTACGGTAAACATTTTTTAAGATAATTGCGGTTTCATTTTGAGTACTCGTCAAGGGCAACATTGGAAGTATTGTAGTTGTGCTTAAACTTTCTTTTGTTACTTTGTAAGAATTCGCCACTGTATATTTTTCCTATCAAGCAATGTATATATGTTTTGTCAGTCACATCTCAACAATATCGGTATCATAAATTCTTGGGGTGTGAGAGGGCCTCTCCCCCAATGACACCCAAAAAAAACAAAAAAGACAAAAGAAAAATAATAATGATTCATTGAAAGGAAGTCCACATTTCTAAAACCTATGGTCCTTCTCTATTCTTATGGAAGAGTTAAATTATCAATAAGGGCATGAGTGGCAAGGGAATGAGTGGCGTTTTCCTTTTTTGGACCATTTGTCCATTTTGAAAATGTGGGACATACTTTCACAAATTTTTATTTTCTTTCCAAAATAAGATCAAGATGAAATTCACAAGTCTCTAAAAAAATAAAATAAAAATTAATAATTTTTTCAGGTATATATGATCATTTTAGTTTTGAGAAAAGTTTATATAAGGTTGCAACCTTAAAATAGAAAATTACATAGCACCTCAAAAATCCATCAAAAAATGTTGTTTTAATGTTGAAAGACCCTCTAATTGATCATCTCGACATCGAGATGTATGAATATATATATATAAAAATTTGAGTCCCAAAATAGTGTATTTTGCAACACATTATCTATATCGTCCATTTTAAGATTTTCATATGTTTATAGATCTACTTGATTGTTACCATTTTTGTAGTTTAAAATTTTATTATTAGATATAAAAATAGATTTTTAGATAATCTTAAGAATGTTTTACACCAAAATTACATCTTATGATAAAATTTGGAGGTGCGCCTAAATTGGATTGTTTAAAATTGCAACCTTATAGAAACCATAACCTTTAGTTTTTATATTTTTTTCGAGTATGACAAATGACATATTAAGTATAGATGCCTAAAATTCGTGTTCAATCCGATGTACCTGAAAAATATTAAAATAGAATACTTAGACATGTTCTCAACCCATCGGACGACTGTAAGCAATAGCGTTATAATGAATGGAAATGTGGAGCTTCACATGCGTTTCGGCAGTTCTAGTTTTTATATTTTTACAAGTTCGCTAGAGCGAGAAGCATAGAAACTCATAATATTAGCTCCCCAATGTAAAAAACAAAGATTGGGGAAAGGTTTTTATACTTTCCTAACGGCATAGAAAAAATATACTCCCCCTCCCTCCGGCGTTCAATTTAGATCAAGTTAGCCACTCACTGTTTTGATCTAGATTCGACACCTCAAAGTATATTTTCCTTTAATTTTTTTACAAATTGCATGAATATAAAATTGAGAAAGGTTTCTAAACTTTCCATGTAACATATAAGATCTATGCTTCCCCTACCATCCAACAATCCAATTTTGATTAAGAGAGCCACTCACCATTTGATCTTAGATCCGACGTCTCAAAGTATTTTATTTTTTATTTTTTTTATACAAATTGTATGAAAATGAAATTAGTACGTATCATCTTCTCATTGGGGTGCACCTATAAAAAAATATTAAAAATAATTTTTCGAATAAAATATAATGACCAAAATACCTTTTAAAATTTTTGGAGGTATTTTGGTCATTTTAATTTATTGAAAATATTTATTTTATTGAAAATATTTATTTTATATTTTTCGCTAGTGTGAGTTTAATAGAAGATTGGACGTACAAAATTTGGTGTCAAAATAATTTATAAAAAAAATTAAAAATAAAATAGTGTGAAGACTTGATATTGTGATTGGGGCAATCTTAGCACTCCATTTAGAATGGAGGGTTGGATAAGGGGAAGTATATAAGTTTTATACTGTAGGGAAAGCATAGAAAGCTTGCCCTATAAAATTTGGTACTACTTATCTTCTCAATAGGGCGCATCTAAAACAAATATTAAAAAGACTTTTTCGATAAAATATAATGCTCAAAATACCCCTTTAATCTTTTAGGGGTATTTTGGTATTTTATTTCATTGAAAATATTTTATTTATATTTTTTACAAGTGCAAGTTTAAGACCGGAGTAGACTCCGAAAATTTGGTATCAAAATAATTGGAAATAAATGAAAAATAAAATAATGTGGAGACATGACATTGTGATTGGAGCCATCTCAACAGTCCATTTAGAATGGACAGTTGGATAAAGAGAAATACATAAATTTTATGCTGTTGGGGAAACATAGAAAACTTGCCCGAAAGAATATAGTTCAAATACTTAGACATACTCTCAACTCATGCAATTATTAAATTATTATTTTATTATTTTTTCAAACTAGACTTTCTATACTGTCGAGTTATGATGTAATTTTTAAAATATTTTTATTTTATTACTTTTAGATTTTAGGTTTAGGGTTATTTTAGTCTTTCTTGGTTGTGGAGATTTGAACGGTTCAAAGGATACGTAGTTTAGATTTTTGATACGATATTAGTTTCCATTTTTTGGGGTTGATTTGGTTAACTCTCAAATGAGTTAATAACCCTCATGAAAATGGAAAACGCAGTAATGAGGTCATGAAAAATGGAAAACGCAGTAATGAGAATTGGTGTGAGAAATAAGGCATTCTTAAGTTGCATTTGATAAATTTCACTATAACTTTCTTAGGAAATCTCTGCTAAATGAAAATTTTAGCCTAAAAGATGGGACCGGTTTGATGAATTGTGTTGTTAGTATTTTCACCTGTTTGATAGTGAAGAAGCTTTTTATATATA